CATAATGGTCAGTGCTTACATCAGAGAGCAGGAGGGTTTGGCCAATTCGTGATGAGGATTAAACAAGCCTGCGAAACGGACCACTGCAGCGATGAGGAAGAGCAATAACGATACGAAGCTAAGGAGATGCGAATTCAGATCATACCGAAGAAATTACGCCAGTTTCTGCGACAGCAGCACCGAAGCCGGAAAACACGGGCAAGTAAGCTTTACGCAGATCGAAAGGGAGACGGGCCAGGTGATGCAGAGGATGAAAGATCAGGAAGACACCACCAAGAAGTTCAACGACAAACCATGAGATGGAGAGGCAACTCAAGGACGCCAAGAATGAAGAAAAAGCGAGGCTGGTACAGCACCAGGGAGACCAGGGTCAGGAGAAACACGACATGCATATTCAGATGCTCGTGGTGGTAGCCAGCGAAGAGCAGAATAATATGGAGGCGACCCAACAGCGGCAAGAGCAGGAACGACAGCAACAATATCCAGAGGAACAAACGGCGTTGGTGGCCCGCTATCAGAGAAAGGTGAAGAAGGTGGGCGAAGAGAAACAACGGGCCTGCAGCGAATACGCCAACGCGAGACAGCTGAATTCCAACGGCAGCAAGCAGAAGCGCGAGCAGCGCATCTGAAGGCAGCGGCGTAGAGAGGAGAGATAACCACATCAGGCACGACATCGCGAAGGAGGCCCAACAAGCGCAGGCTGAGAGCAAAAGGCAGCGACTGGAAATGCACCTGCTGCAGCAGGACAGTTTCGCGATGACGCAAAGGCAAGTAGGGGAAGACGCACAACAAGGAAGCAACGAGCGAGCGACGCAACGACAACGGGCGCAAGAAGCAGACGAGAGGAGGGCGCGACAAGCACAGGCTGAACAGTTACATCGACCCCAGTGGGGACGAGCCCAGGGGAACGCGCGCGGGCATCGACATCGGGGACATCTGATCGACTGGCGGAGGAGTCAGCAGGCATGCGAACAGCAACATCAACGACACGAGCGAAGCTGACAACAACGACAACAATGACAAATAACCCGACGCCAAGCGGGGTAAGAAGAAAGAAGAAGGGAGCGACAACTACGCCGACCAGACATGCAATGACATATGACAGAGCTTCAGAAAGACATCGGGGCCCGTGGAAAGAGAGCGCGACGAGCGCGAAAGGCTGCAGCGCGGGCGCCAGAAGAGATTGAGGGATGAGACCGGGAGGCGCGAACTGGAGACGGACGCGCGGGCGGAGAGAGGATTGCCGGAACAAGAACCACGGGGTGGGGATAATTATTGAGGCTATTGGCAGCAGACGAAGGGAAAGGCAGCCACTGGACACCGACAGGCGAGCTGGCATATTGACGCAACGACAGGGGTTGCGGCGACGACCTGGAGTGGGCAAAGGGCAAGCCTCAAAGCAGAACGCAGGAGGATGCGCGGGCAACTGTAGACGAAGATGACAAAGGAGTAACGGAGGAGGAGGAAAACTTGGCCGACAGCGAGATCGAAACGAAGACGAACCCCAACGAGCCGCACAAGCAGGAGACAGAGGGGGTGATCGACCTGGGCCAGATCGGCGTGGACGCCCAGAACGCGGCGCGAAGCAGCGATCGCGAGGCGGGCGCGGAGGGGCAGATCTCCACCGCGGAAGCCGTGCAGCGAGACGAACAAGCGCCGCAGCGGGGGGCGGGGGGAGAGGGCCAGGAAGCGGGAAAGGGCAGCGCCGAGACGATGGCGGGCGCAGCCGGCCCCAGCGCAGCAAAAGAGCCACGCGCACCGAGGAACGAAAAAGGAAGCGGAGCCAGCGCGCGGCGAGGGCCCGTTCGACAGGATCTAGATGCCGAAAGCAAGGGGCCCAGCACCGCCGCGAGAGCCTTCAGAGTTCGCCCCCGCCCCCCGCAGGTCAGGCAGGGGGCGGGGGGGGGGGGGCGCGGGGGGGGGGGGCCCGATGAGGGGCAAGCGGGGCGCGCGGGGGCCCTGAGGGGCGACGGGGGCCAGGAAGATCAGCGACGCGCTCGAGCTCGACCGCCGCTGCCCGGCGCCCGCGCAGCTCGCTCAGCAAATGCCGCGATTCTACCCAGTTTGGGGGCGAGGAGAGATCGCGGCGGCTGCGGGGCTGAGCGCGGCCAGACCGGGGGCCCTGCGGAGCGCGCCAGTTACGTCAGCCACGGCGCCGCCGCGGAGGGTCGGGCGCGCGACCCCTGCGAGATAGGCGACGTCGCAGCGGGGGAATTATTGCGCGCGCGCGAGGATTGGCCCGGGCGCCGCGGAGGGCCGACCCCCCCCCGAACGGGGGGCGGGCGCGTCGAGGAGCTGGACCTCGAAGTGAGCCGATCAAGGATGGAATTCGGAAGCAATGCAGACGACGAGGCAATCGACCTCGCGCCGCAGAGCGAGGCTCGACATCAAGAGGGCGATGAACCGCGTCGAGCACGGCGCGCCGCGAAGGGCGACGACGGCAGTTCCTTGGCGCAGCGCGAGATCCAGCCAGCGGGGCGGCTCGCATGACGCCTTCGACAGCGGCAGCCGCTGGATGAGTTAGATATGGATTGAGATGGAACGGATACTCGCGGCTCGACGGAACTATCAGTAAGAATGCGCCCGCCAAGCGCGGAGAAGGCGCAGGCCATGCGCGCGGCGGCTGCCGCGACGCGGCCCCGGACTAGACGGCGCGGGCGATCGCGGTAGTTGAGCAGGCCCAGGGTGGATTTCGCTTCAAAGGATGCCTCGCGGGAGGAACGGCAGGCGTCGCAGTGGCCGAGAAAGACTTCGGGCCCAGCGACGGCGCGACGGAGCTCGCGGCGCTTTCGCAGGGGCCCGCCGTTGCCCCCAGCATCCCCCCATAGCGCGAGGCGCAAGTCCGCGCCGACCGCGAGGCGGCGCGGGCGGCGCGCTCGCGCTGGAGGTGGGCCGGGGGCCGTCGCGGATCGCGGCGCTTGCGGGGCGGAAGCGGGCAGCAAGAAGAGGCCGTGGCGGGCGCCCGCGGAACGAGCCAGCGGGTGCGATGGCGAGGCACGCGGCGGCATGCGGCGCGCCTTCTCCTCGACGAGCAACGTCGACATCGCCCAGAGGTTGACCTACAAAAGAGGACGAATGGGGCATCTCGCAGGGCCCCGATTACCGGGGCAAGAGGGCGCGCCCGAAGATTGACGGCGCACTGGGGGGATGTGAATGCCCAGTGCGAGCAGCAGCGGACGGATGTGCCATGGGCAGAACCATCGCGGGCACCGTCAGTTCAAGGCGCCTGCCACTGGGGCACTGGAGGGCACTGGGCGCGCCGCAGAGGCGGCGGCAACAAGCGGAGACGGGGGGCGGGGGAACGCGAGGAACGCCAAGTTTGTTATTTTCGGCCTCCGGGGGCCCTTCCTGGGCCTCGGGGCCGTCACAGAAGACTCCGGATGAGAAGCGGGTCCCGGGGAAAAGCTCCAGACCTCGGTCGACGCCATCCTAGAAAAGTCACGACGTCGGGGGTTTGGGTCTGCCTGTTGCTCGGGGGCTCCCGGGGTCCCCCGGGCGCTGAGCAGCGCCAAACATTGCCAAGCAAGGCGCCCGTGCAGTAGGAAACTGTCCCCGATTGGGGTCGCGCCGGGCCGAGGCTGACGTTTCACATTTGCTAGGCCACGGCCTCCAGGCCATGCCCTAATTATTGAGCGCGGGCGAGCTCCTTCGCGGAGCGCGCACGACTCCAGCGTTCGCTCGTTCGTTCGCTCGGACACCAGTACAAAGGTCGGAGGAGGGCCAGTCTTCTGGCCCCCTGGGCCCCCAGACATATCCATGCCCGCCGCCCGGTGGGGTCCCAGGACGTCGGTCGCCCAAGCGGTGGACATGAACGGTGGCAGAAGACGGGATCGTTGTCTCCGACGTTCGCGCGTGAGCTGCCCGCGCAAGGTCGCGCGCACCCGTCTTCGTCTCCAATGTGGCGCGCCGCGCTGGCAGCCCGCGCAAGTCTCTGCGCAAGGTCTCCGTGCCATCTCGCGTAAGAGAAGATTTTCCCGTCGCAAGGGTAAATCCCCGCTTCGGGCCCCAGGGAGTCAACGGGGCCCCTGAGGACCCAATCATATCCACACCCGCCGCCCGCAAGGGGGCACACGGCATCGGTTCCCCGTCCTCCTCCTCCTCCTCCTCCTCCTCCTCCTCCTCCTCCTCCGCCTCCGCCTCCGCCTCCGCCTCCGCCTCCGCCTCCTCCTCCTCCTCCTCCTCCTCCTCCTCCTCCTCCTCCTCCTCTTCCTCCTCCTCCTCCTCCTCCTCCTCCTCCTCCTCCTCCTCATCATCATTCCCCCCACCCCTTCCATTCACCGCCATGGGGGAAACGGGTCCTGAGGGAAACGGGTCCTGAGTTTTTTCGCTGTCTTCGGGCTCTCGGTGCCATCCACGGACCCCGGAACTATCAGAAAACGACGTAGGATGAAGAAGTAGTCCCAGGGAAGGGCTTAGGGTCCAGGACCCGTTTCCCTCAGGACCCGTTCCCCCCATGCTGACTTCTTCGCCGCCCCGGTACCGTCGGTCGTTGAGAGCAGGTCTTTCTGGATCCCCAGATCCCATCTCCTGCAGGCGCCTTCATGCTTCGAGAGTCGAGCGGCCGTCCTTCCTTCTTCCTCTTTCGGGGGCGGATCTACCTCCAATGCCTTCCTGCGTCATGCTTTCTTTCCGACCGACGGACAATCCACGCCCAACCCCGACCCCCTGCGGGCGCCAAGCGCGCTGCGTCGTCGCCGCCGCCGCCGCCGCCGCCGTCCGCGGCACGCCCCATGTCCTACTCCGGGTTGGACGTTGGGCCCCCGGAGGAGGAGAAAGAGGATGAGGAGGAGGAGGAGGAGGAGGCGGAGGAGGAGGCGGAGGAGGGAAGGACGAGGGAAGGTGGAGGAGGAGGAGGAGGAGGAGGAGGAGGAGGTGGAAAAGGAGGAGGTGGTGGAGGAGGAGGAGGAGGGAGGAGGGAGGAAGGAGGAGGAGGAGGAGGAGGTCTGGCACCGCGGCTGGCCTCCCAAGCCTCCCCGCCCCCCGCCCAGCCCGCGCGAGAGGCCGCCGACGAGCGGCTGCCCGGGGACGCTCGGCCGCCGCGGGAGCTGAGCGAGGAGCCGCCGCGCGGGCGCGCCGCCGCCGCGCCTCGCGCCTCGGGCCTCGCGCCTCCGCCTCCTCCTCCTCCGCCTCCCCTCCTCCTCTCCGCCTCCTCCCCCTCCTCATCCTCCTCCGCCTTCTCCGCCTCCTTCTCCTCCTCCTCTTCCTCCTCCGTCTCCTTCTCCTCCTCTTCATCCTCCGCTTCCTCCGCCTCCTCCTCCTCCTCCTCCTCCTCGGCCTCCTCCTCCTCCTCCTCCTCCTCCTCCTCCTCCGCCTCCGCCTCCGCCTCCTCCTCCTCCTTCTCCTCCTCCTCCTCCTCCTCCGCCTCCTCCTGCCACTGACGTTCATCGCCTGTTCCCAGTACTCAGTACTCCCCGCACGCACTACGTACTCCCGCCAATGAGCGCGTGGTGCTATCCGGCGTACTCAACGTCGGTGGCTGTAGGCCGCATCGTCGTTTGTCTCTCGAAGGCCGGCTTGCCCTCGGAGGCCCCGGCGGGGCGCACCTCGACGCCTCCCGCTCGGTTCGATCTCGACCGCTTCCGAGTCCGATACGATGCATTGCTCGCCGATGCTCCACGCGCCGCCACGCCGGACTGGGGCAGGCTGTGCTGCCCGGCGAGGGGGGAAGAGGAGGGGAGGAACATGCGTTGCACGGAACGTTGCGCTCGTTGCGCGGAACGTTGGCGGCCTCCAGCTGGTGTCGCCCTGCCTCTCTTGGGTCCGCCCCGCCCGGACGGAGGCAGGCCCCCCCCTCCCGCCGCGCGGGCCCGAGGACAGCCCCGGCCAGCGCGCAGGGGCGCCTGACGGCGGCAGGCGGATCGTCGTCGGCGTCGGCGTCGGCGTGGGCGTCGTCTTCTTCCTCCCGGTGCCTGCCTCCGGGTGGGTGGAGAGCCGTACCGACGCAGCCCCCCCCCCCAGGGCTGGTCGGCCCTGGGGGGGTGATGGGGCAAGACGGCCAGGTGGATCTACCTACCCGCTGTCAGGACATTCCCTGTGAAAGTAGGCAGACGAGGAGGGGAGAGAGGGAAGGAGTGTGATGACCTCGGGAGAGAGGAAGTAAGGGGGGTCTGTACTGTGGCAGGCGGTAGTGTGGCGGCGGTCGCGCAAGATAGAATGACGGATGGGCCCTGGGGCCTCCTTGTGGCTGAGCCAGCAACTAGGAACTGGGGAACCCGATTCCTGGCTGCTGTTCTGGGCCGATTTCGGTGGGCGGCGGGGTCCTTGGGCTTCCTGGTTCCTGGGTTCTCGGCTTCCCCAGTTCTTGGTCGATCTCCTCTTCGATCGGTCTCACCATCGATCTCATTACCCACCTCTCTATCGGTTCCATCTCTTCCAGCATTTGTGCGACCACCAGGGTGCTTTCTGGGGCAGCCCCGGTTTTTTCTGCTGCTAGTGCGATAAGGATATGGTAGGGAAGACGGTTGAAATATCAACATCCTGTCACCCGTTTATAATGGACGAAATTCTAGACGCAGCGGCCGCCCACCCCTTTGGTCCGCAGCAGGCAAAGAGGCGGTGCGTACGCCCATTCCAGATCAGTGGACTGGTGCATCAAGCTTTGCGTCGTGGCGCGGATGGCAGTCATGGGACACTTGGGGGTCGAAGGTTCTTCATGGACCGACACTGACTGGAAGGCGAAGGGCAAGCGCTATTCCCCGAGAGGAGATCACCCGTACGCCGATAAGCGTCTGCGAGGCTGGGACTCCTGATCCAGACGACAGGGATGCAGCGTGGGACCCTTGCAAGGCTGACCCACCCCCTCCACCTATCGCAGGAACGCCCACGGGCGTGGCTGACTCCCCCTCCTGGGAGTGCACGCAACCTAGGCTTTTCCCGAATGCCGCCTGGTTGACACCACCTCCTGCCTACCTGCTCCACTCTGCCTGGCACTCGCCAACCCCCCCCAGCCAGTTTCACCTGCAGCGCCTGGCTCCGGCCGCAATACCCTGTGTCACCTCCGACGGGGCGGAGGGGCACCAATACTCTCGCGCTGCGCACATCGACAGCCCACGCTGGATTCGTGGACCTTCAGCGCTTGGCCTCGGCCGCAATACCATGTGCCACCTCCGCTGGGGCGGGGAGGCACCAATACCCTTGCGCTGCGCACATAGACAGCCCACGCTGACTCGTGGACCTTGCCCTGCCTTCCCTCCCTGCGGCCGGCTGCCGCCTAGGACCAAGGCCCTGCCCCCAACGGTGGAGGCCTCTGCCCATGCAGACTCGAGGGGTCGACTGTGCCACTTACCTAGGGCAGCCCCTCCTTTGGACAGCAGCGACGGATGGCTGAAATAATTCATCCCCTGTGATCCACATCTACAACGCACTTCGGCGAGGTGTACGACATCACCCACTGCACCGCCCTTGCTCAGCCCCAACCCCCCGTGGACATGAAGTTGTGTACATGGTTGTTCTATGTATTGATATCCGTGCTCTGCGGCTTTCGGCTGCGCCCCCACCTCTCTTCTTCTCTCACCCACCGCCATTGCTCCGTCCTGTCTGTTGAGGGTCATACGTGCAGCCCGTCTGCGGCTCGAGTCTACCATTGGTGCTCTGGACCATGTCAGTACTCAGGGTCGCGACGCGGCCTGTCATGGACCGCAATGCTTGCTTTCTGGACAACAATGATCTGGGTCAGCTGGGCGCGGCCTCCAACTCCTTGTACAAGGTGGTGTCCATTGCGCTTACCTTGTGGGCCGTCTGGGACCCTGGCGCGCCCGGTGGAGCTCGCTGGGTTGGCAGCCCCATGGTTCTCAACCGGCCCTTTGCCTCGAGCAGCCCTTTTGAGCTCGTGGACTGAGGCCGCTGTGGAAATGGCCGCAAACCCCCATGGTCACGAAATTCTCTATATGGATGCTCTGTGTATTGATGCCCGTGATCTGCGGCTTTCGGCTGCGCCCCCACCTCTCTTCTCAGTGTGCGACTGCGGTTGGTGGACGAGATCTCCCACCGCGCCGGCCTTGCTCAGCCCCACCCCTTGTGGTCATGAAGTTCCGTATTTGGACGATATGTGCATTGTCTTCCGTGATCTGCGGCTTTCGGCTGCGCCCCCACTTCTCGTCGCCTATTTGCCACGTCTCCGCGGTTTTCGGCTGCGCCCCCCCGCTGTCAAGGTTGGCGTCTGACGCTGAGGAGCAGGCAAAGGTTTCCTCAGAGGTCACCCTGGCACGTCAGCGGGCAGCCTGCGACCGAAGCAACCCTGCTGTTCGGCCGCCTCCTCCTCCTCCTCCTCCTCCCCCTCCTTCCTTCGCAATTAATGCGGCTTTCGGCTGCGCCCCCCGCCAATCAGCTGGGAAGTACGCTGCGGCCTTCGATGAGCGCCCGCCCTGGCACCCCCCCAGGGCGTCTCCGACACTCGTCGCCGGCCCAACCACCTTTCTTCTACAAGGAAACTGCGGTTTGACAGCACGCTGCCAGTGGCCAGCATACCCGCAGCTCGACAGCTGGAAGCCACCTGTATGCCCTGGCAGCGGTGACATCTGGCTGCTGCTCAGGTGGCGCGGTGGGGGGGGGAGTGGCTGTGGCTGTGGCTGCGGCTTCGTCAAGGCTGCGGCCCCGCATCGAGTGGTTCAGCATTCCGCGGTTCAAGGTCGCGTCGCACTTCTTGGCGCAGACTAGCAGCCCAGGCCACCATCTCGCCAGTACTCGCATCGTTGTGCCCCCGTACTGCGTGAGTCGGGTACGATGTGCATACAATGGCTACTGGCTGGAGATGGCTCACCTCATGAACACACACCAGTGGTCTACTCTACCGTTTGGCGCTCAGATCAGCCACCTCATTGGATGATTGCGACCCCGCAGTGGATGGTACAGCCTGCAGCCCGTGGTCGCCTCTTCAGCGCAGCCCTGGACACCAGCCCGCCGGTACTTCGCATCGTTGCGCCCCCGCGCGGCGTGCGTCGGAGATGATGCGCGCGCGCTGGCTGGCAGGCAGGCGTTGGGCGCTGCCGACAGCCATGCACCAAGCGACGCCCGATGCCTGGCCTCGCCTTGGGAGCGGCCCCGCATTGAGTGGTTCAGCCTTCTGCAGTCGCGGTCGTTCCCTGCTGCAGTCGCGGTCGTTCAGCCTTCTGCATCTGCGCAGCTTGTGTCAGTACTTCACATCGTTATGCCCCCGAACTGCGCGTGTCGGATACGGCGTGCGCGCGCTGGCTTTGGCTGAAGGTGGTCAACCTCGCTAATGCACACCAGCGGTTCGTCTACTGAAGGCTTCGACGCGGTCCAGCTACCTTGTAGCCTCAGTGAGTTCGATGGGACTGGCCCCCTTTTGCCTCGCCATTGTTTACATGGTATCGCATTTGTGAGTGCTGGTCGCTCGCTCTCGCTTTCGCATTGTCAGCATTAGTCTGGCGCCGCGCCGGCGACTCACTCTGCTGTCTTCGCACTTGCAGCTCGTTCACTTCGGTCACGCTGCATCGCCTATGTGCGTTTGCTAGTGAATTGATTTAATTCTGTTCTGTGCGTGTGCAACTGCGAGCGTGTCTTGCAGGTGCGAACTGGCTGCCGGTAGTGGCGGCTGTGTTCGCAAATTCGCTCCGCGCCGCATCCCGGACGCTGCGTCCGCTCCCTGACTTTTGTCTTGGAGCCGCGAACCAAAAAAAGTAACCCCAGCAGGGCATGGGTGTTCGGACGCCTCCTGCGCTCTCGCTTGCGGCCGCGACAAAAAATAACCCCACCAGCGTGAGGTGCTCAGCCCTGCTATCGGCAGTTCACTCGGCAGTTCTATGCGTGCTGCCTTTCCGCACAGGCGTTCGATGTCGACCTTACCCATCGTATTCCTGGTTTGCAGCATCAGGCGTGTGGCCGATCCGTTCAGGTTTTCGGTATCGATCCCTTCCATCGTTTTCCTGGCTGGCTCTTCCTTTCGTTCTCGGAACGGGAATTGCCCCGGATCTTTCTCTCAGGAGTGAGTGTGCGACTTCCCTGGCGCCACTCGTACTGGTTCCTGGTCAGTGCCGTATTCCTGGCCATATGCGTAAGTATTACTTCCTGGAGTGTACTGCAAGCGAACGGCCCCCTTTTCAGGGTCTGTGTGCATGGTTCCCTCCCTACGTCAAGTCCTACACGCCCTCAGCGGTCACTTGTCAGCTTCGCTGTTTGTGACCTTGCCGCGCCATGCTGGCTGCGTATAGCTCCTTGGTTTAATGTGTGCATCGGCAATGCCCCCGGATCCTGGTCCTGGTTGCAGTTTGCATCGCATCGCCCGTCGGCAAGGTTTCGGGCCCTGCCCCGCTTCCTGGCACCACCTCGCGCAAGCCGGCAGCTCAGGCAGCTTATGCAGCTTAGGTTCGGCAGTCAGGCCCCGGGCGCTAGGCAATTTTCGCGCGTAGCCCGCCCGACCTCTTACGCTGCTGGCGCGCTCGCCTGCGGCCGCGACGGAAAAAGTAACCCCACCAGCCCATCCAGAAACGATGCCCAGCGGAAATGCCTCGATCAGGGATGTGGGCAGCACGCAGAGGAAGGGTCCCCCAGTTGAGGCCTCTTGGAGCGTTTGGGGGGCCTCTTGGCGGTCCTGGACGCCTCTTAGAGCGTCTTGGGTGCCTCGGAGAGTTTCTTGGGGCCTCTTGGGGGTCTCTTGGGGGCCTCTTGGAGGCCTCTACGGCGCCTGTTGGGGCCTCCTGGGGTGGAGCCCTCTTGGCCATCTTGGAGTCATCTTGAAGCCTCGGATGGCCATCGGAAGCGACAAGGCGAGAAAACTCAAAACGTGGATGTTCCACAGGTTTTGGAAGGATTTTGGCCTCTTCGGGGCCTCCTGGGGGAGCTCTTTGGCCACTTGGGGCCGTCGTGAAGCGGTCTTGGGGCCTCTTGGAACATCG